GTAGTCGTGTGTCGTTGTTGTGTGTGTGTGTGTAGTGTGTTGTGTGGTGTAGTGTGTGTGTTAGTGTGTGTGTGTTAGTTGTTGTGTCGTGTGTGTGTGTGTGTGTGTGTGTGTGTGTGTGTGTGTGTGTGTGTGTGTTGTTTGTGCGGTTGTGGATGCGTGCATGGACGCGTGCGTGCATACGTGCGTGTATAAATACAGAATACCATAGACAATAAAACATTTCCTAATTGCTTTTAACAGAAGGCGCCATGATGCGCTATACCTTTCTGCTATTGACTCTGTCAATGTACTACGTCCAGCCGTTGTTCCTGGATGCGACCGATGAAAGACTGCATCTCTACGACTCCAAACAGGATTTAAGAAACGAAGTGCTACGACCGAACATTCCAGTAGTAGGAAATAGTGACCCGCGGCGGAGTGAAGATGAATATTACGACAATGAAGAGACTGATGATAAGTATGACGCCAAGCCAACAAGATACTCGAAGTTTAGATCCCTAAAGACTGATAGACCGGATTCTCAAGAGACGGAAAGAGCAGGTGACTACCGCCCTGACAGCTATCTTGATTATGCCGTCATGCCATCCAACGACTTAGGACTTCAACTTGTCTTGTCTGTCATTACGACAAATGACAATAATTCAGGGGAAAGATACCGTCGACCGTTCCTGTTTTCACCCTCCGAACTGTTGACGGCACAGGGCCCGTCGTTGTCGCGGCAGTTTAGTGACGACGTTGGCCATATGCCCGTGTTTGACCCCCGAATGATTCGCGATGTATTCCCGTTTTCAAGCAGACGCGACAATGCCTTCAGGCGCGAGTGGTCCCAGCCCCGAATCTTCCCCGACAGGCCGTCCATAGTGGACATCCCGGCAGATCCATACCAGTTAATGACATCTGAGGAGTTTCTACCGCAGGTGCTAGGCGCACCAATGCGGCAACCGTTGGAGGGATATGAAGGCGAGCAGCTTTTGGCTCGTGACGTTCACGATATCTTTCCGTTTGCGAGCAGGCGAGGCAATGCGTACAGACGCGACTGGGCCTTGTCCCGAAGCCATCCCGACAGGGAAATGGCACTAGGGGCCGCGCCGGTAGCACCATACCCGGTAATGGCATATGAAGACATTTTACCAGAGGCGCTAGCTCCACCAGCGCAGCAGTATCAAGGCGAGCAGGTCTTACGCACCGAGGTTCCTGCCATCCTTCCATTTCCACCCAGTGGTTACAGTGACGCCATTGACGTGCCACACCGCGACAGTGACGATAATACGCAGCGACCCGGAGCATCTCTACGCACGCACCAGTTTCCACGTTACGACGTCTTTGCGCCGGACTCCTTGAGGGAGCAATTTCAGCTTCGGGGAATGCAGCAACAGCGATACAGGACGGCTCGTGATAGATACCCCTTCTTAGGCGAGCGAGGCAACGCATACAGACCCACACGGGACCATGACGAGCCGGAGCCAGAGCAGGAAGAACAAAATCTATCTGAGGAAGAAGCCAGTTATGGCCAGGATATGGCTTCCGCGTACGCACAGGCTAACGCCGAGCAGCAGCAGCTACGGATACCTGACCGAGAAGATATGCACAGACGGTTTCCGTTCCTAAGCAGACGCGGGAATGCATACAGACGCGATTGGGCGCTCAACGGTGAGCAACGGGAACACGAACCAAAGCGAGGCCCAGCTCCCGAAAACAGACTAGCGGACCATCAAACCCTGCCACAAGCTGATCGCGTATAGCTGATTCCCAAACACCAATGAATACTATATATACTCATATAAAAGGGCCAACTACACTGGCCGCTTCCCTATCTAAACTGTTAAATTCGCGTGGGTGATTTAATATGTGTGTAATTATCATAGCAGCGGTATAATTCGGATATATGCTAAACATGTACGTCCGATTCGCTCGCTTCGAGTCGATAATGTTAATAACGGTTTTAAAAAAGAACACTTTATGCAAACGAGCATCCGTAAATTAAAACCGCACAGCGTTGTGGGACATTGTGTAAAGGAAATCACATGTTCAGGGGAAATTCATGCGTTCGTTAATTCGGATGCAAATCGCATTAGAATGCTCTTGCGGAGTAGTCTATGGTTTCCTTTCATCGCTACGTTGTTATCGCGACAACTCGCGCCATCGTACCTGGCACGGCGTTGAATATCACGGAGAGTCGGGCGCAAATATTTCACAGCGCAATGAATTGAAATTATTATCGCCAGCGCGCGAACGCACGAGTTTTATATTGCTGAATCGTATACAGATAAGCATGCATATGAATAATAAATATAAGGTTTATGTCGCATAATGTATAATAAAATATTTTTATAATAATGACATATTATTCCATCTTTTTGATATACGGCTATTTCTGATTCGTCACTTATGTCTAGCGCGTGCATACCCATCATGGCAGCTTACAGAAGCAGTTTCTATTGTAATCTATCTATGCTTGTCACTACCTATATACTAAACACGCAGATATCGAGAGCCTCTTTGCTGTTTAAACATTCTACTAAAAAGCACTATTTCATGCGCTGAGATATCACCATAACTAGCAGTTTAACGTTAGCTGTGTTTATCGTTATAAGCAGACCTGGCAAAGTGTTCGGGAAATAACAAAAACAACAAAATTCGGAGCGATGCTGTAGGTATAATCCCCTACATTTAATATAAATTCAAATCGATATCAAAGATCGCTCAATGTACGTAATTAAAACTGTTAAGTGGGGGGAAGGTATCTGAACACGCATCATAGCAAAACCAGCGATGCTTGCGGAAACCTAGGGCCCGTTGTCAGAAACATCGTAAATATAGGGCAAATGTTAATGCTATAAAATAGCGCATACGACTAACGTTAATGCACGACAAAATGTTAAGACTAATTTTGTTTCTGGCAACGCGCCCCTAGTTCGCAGTCTGCGAGGCTGCGCAACTTTGCACCGCGGGGTTCGTCGACCTTGAAGGAGGTATAGGTTGCAGGTAGAATTACACACCCATTATGCAAGCTGATGATCAGGGATGACACACCGCATACGTCACGGCACGGGATGTATTTTTTATCGTTTACGGGGCTTCTAATTACAACGCCCATGCATCCGAACAACTCACGTGAGCTTCTTTATAGCTACTGTCACATGTCAACGGCACTTTCCTTTATATATAGGCTGGCATCGAATCAGCTTGGCAGGGTAGGAGCCAGGGTAACGGCCCTCATGGGCGCTGATCAGGCAGACTTGTACGTACAGTTCATACACAATGCAACATCCAGGGTGTGCCAACAGCATCCAGTGGGGTTATCTATAGTAGGTATATAGTTGGGCGTATCTAGTAGGGTATATCTAGTTGCAACCTTGGAATACACGCCGGCTTCATTTAGGGAATATCGGGCTACCTACGTGCATGTATTGTGTTACATAATATATACCAGCCGCGAGTGTGACACACACACACACACCAGGCCCGTAGCCAGCTTTATATTGGGAGGGGGGGTTCGTTTTTCAATGTTGGCAATTTGCTCGGCAGGGGTGTGTACAGGATTTGTACCAGGGGGGGGGAGGGCTCTAACGTAACCCAAAGTTGCGAGCACGCGAAGGGGGGGTCTGGGGGTCTAAATCCCTTTAAAAATTTTAAAATTAGACCCCCTCAGATGCATTTTCTGCGCGAGCAAGGGGGGGTCCGGACTCCCTGGACCCCCCTGTACACGCCCCTGCTCGGGCGCGAAGCGACCAGGCGAGGGAGCCAAGCGACCGAGCGGGGGGAGGGTGTGGGAGGGGGGTGTTCACTGTTTATTACACTTTTTTATTACACTAAAATGGAGCGACCTGAGGTGAAATTCTTGCAAATTTTCAAAAAAAATATTTTTTTGCTTTGGGGGGGGGGTTGTTCCCCCCCCCTGGCTACGGGCCTGCACACACACACACACACACACACACACACACACACACACACACACACACACACACACACACACACACACACACACACACACACACACACACACATTCACGTGCTCGTTACACGTGAGAGTTTATCACACACGGACGGTCTGGAGTGCATGTACCGAGTTACGGTTACCGCAGTTCCGATACAGGGTCGCCTGTATTTGATTTTGTTTTGTTTTTGTTTTTGTAATTCAGAGACGCTGCGTGAAGAACCTGTATGTTCATCATGAACAGCTCTCACGATGCGAGTACGCCTACGTATTTACCCTCAATTTGTCATAGGGATCTGCTTAAAAGAATAAGGGGTCGTATATGTATGGCATAATAAAGTTCGTCACACCATATAAACAAAGATATCAAGGATTTTTCTTATAGAATATGTTTGCTGAATTATGATTCAGTTCTCTTTGCGGTGGTTGACCATTTTCATAAGCTAACTTGTATCAAGAGTGCATAATAGAGATTATGCACTATTATCTCTATATTATCTCTATAATCTCTATTATGCACTCTTGCTTGTATGTATATAGCTCGTATAGCTCGTATTAGTGATAGTAGTAAACACGATAGAATTTGATCGTATTCGCTCGACGTAAAACTAAATAAGAAATCTCCAACTTAAGTTGGCTATATATATTTAAAATACAGCCATAAAAAATCACGCTGAGTGATTAATCAGAGTTCTATTATAGTAATAAGCACTAGCATTTATCTCGTTTCAGTTCGCCGTAGCTCTCGAATTTCAAGCGACGGCGCCTATAATACATGGTTTGACCATATCAACAACGTAAATCCAAGCCACGCGATGTCATTTTCATGTGCACGTACTAGCTGTTGACCGAGCGCGCATGCCGGGAACAAAATACATACCCCATGCTGGCATTTTGGTAAATGATGATAAATGCTAAGTATACACAGTTCTCCAAATGGAGTCAGTCACCTTAGAGAAAGGAGACTTCACCGATCTTCAAGATTTTCCGGTTAGAGACTTTCTGGGACAGGCAAATAGTTGGCGGTGTGTCTAGACTAGACGGCACAAGCTTTACTGAGAGCCGCGGTGGAAATAGTTGTAGGTATACTGCCTGGGTACAGACGGGTGCATACTTTGCTTCCAAAGAAAGGTTAACTTTGGCACTATAGTAACACAGCTGTCCCGATGCACAGATCGGCTGATAGGAAGACAACGCACACGTAAATATCGGTACAGGTGAAGACATTGGGGGCTGGTACCAGTATACCTGACGCTTGCCAACCATGTTTTAAGGCCATGGATTGTCTTTTATCAGTGCGATCGTTTCAGCACCAAGGCGGCTTTACATTAGTTTTAGTTGGTCAGCCAATATGTCATGTGACCTACAAGAGGTCGCCTATATTGCGGGTTGGAATTGTTAGATTGTCGTGCACGCAGAGTATATACCTTAGATAGTTCTTTTTAGATTCAAGCCACTTAATATTGGTTGGAATGTTTAAACACCGCTCCAGCTTGGGTAAATTAATATAATCAGGTTAATTATCAGTTTAATTGATGACATGGTCAACGATGGTACATACACATTACGCAATTACGTGTCACGTAAGTACTCACAGAAAAACTCGACGACACTACTATACATTTTTCTCAAGTAGGTATAACCATAGTCGAATAGGGGTTGTTTCCGTTCAAATGTGCTGTTCTATTCATCGCGTCCTAGCACGCACAGGCCCAGTAGGCCGCTAACCCTCGACAAAATAGAGCACGTTAATGTGTAAGCACGCAAAGTTTTTAGTAGACCTATCATAGTCTTAAGCGTCCTGAAGAAGAGATGGGGCCGAGTAGCACACGCTATCATTATCGATCAAAGACCTTGCCACTAAATGCTGAGGGTGGAGATCTTTTCCGGGTCATCGCAGCTCAATACTCTGCAAGATCGCGACTAATAGCTATAATAGCTATATAGTCAAATATCCGCATGGATAGCTGGAAGTATGCATTGCACACGAGAACGGAAAAAATCGATATGCGAGATTCTTTGGGCGGATGAATTCACGCAGATGCTAACGTTTTGAATCCCATTATGCAAATACACCCCCAGATTTGACAATATGGTTACCTTAGCGCATAAGAGCATCGAATCACACAAGCAGGAGTGAATAAATGTGTTTTAATTAATTCTTGATGTACACAAGAGTTTAAGTTCAAGTATGCAACGTACAATGTTCAACAATACATGCACATCTCAGGGGCGTGTACAGAATTTTGACCAGGAGGATGTCTAACCGTAACCCAAACTTGCGAGCACGCAAAGGGGGGGGGGTGGCCCTCCCCCATAATTTTTTTGAAATTAGACCTCCTCAGATGCGTTTACTGCGCGAGCAGGGGGGGGGGTCCGGACCCCCTAGACCTCCCTTGTACACGCCCCTGCATCAAGAGTACATAATCTCTATTATGTACTCTTGATGCACATACACATTATACGTGTACTTCCGATTCATGTGATGCAATACATATATATATATATACGTAATCCACTCTCATTTAGTAATTATGTAGCAAGGTATGCACTTAATTTCTCATTACGCAAAGGTTGGATCTTGTAAGTAGTTGAGTTCAACGCCATCATTTAAGCAAACAAGTTTCAAGAGTATACTGTAAACAGATAGATGGATCTGGATTTCCGTTGATCTAGTTCGCAGTAACAGTTTAACCAAACCTAAATCACACGATCGGGTCATAGAACTTTGCAGTTAGACCTCGGAGGTAAACGCTGTGGTGACCTCGGAGGTAACGGCAATATTTTGTCTACTACCAAAGAGCTTATAATAATCATTATAAGCTCTTTGCTGCTACTGAGAAAATCGCACAAACTTGCCCGAACAAGTGTTATAAATTCGACCTCAAATTGTAACTCGAAACACGATATATGTGCCTTATGTTTCATTTTGATTTAACAGAGTAATGTTCCAATATATTAACCTTTGACATTTTTTCGAAAAAATACATATGCATACTTGCCCTAACGCCATGTAGGTTGATTGACTGTACCTTTTGATATGCGAACGGTCCCTCCCTACAACCGGGGGCGGCCGCGGGCAATTTTAATGCCCTGGGCAAACGATAACCTTGGCGTCCGCAATTTCATAAAGGCGAAAATAACTCAAACATAAAAATCTGCATTTATTTTCTCAGTAATTGGCATTTGAAATGAAGTATGCAACATGAAAAATGCGTACATGAAAACACGTTTTCTCTTTTCATTACGTTAAGGCATGACAGTGTACTTCTGCTTTCCGCAAATTTGGAAATAAAATAGGAAGAGAAATCGTGTAATCATCGTGTGATATGTTAGTGGATTTTTAACCCGAGAAACATCATGCTGCTTTTGAATCAAGCTCCCAGTTCGTGCGTGTGCGTGTGCGCGTGTGTGTGTGCGTGTGCGTGCGTGCGTGCGTGCGTGTGCGTGTATGCGTGTGCGTGTGTGCGCCCGAGCGCGTGTGTGCGCGCGCGTGCGTGCGTCCGTACGTGCGTGCGCGCGCGTGTGTTCGCAATAAGCTTTTCAGTAGAGGTATATCGTCATTCTTTCCGTGAACAAAGATAGAGACCAACTAGTGTAATAACTCGCTGATTCCATATTGTGTTCAAGATGATTACCTACGTTTTAACCCGCTTACTCGAACTTTATCGTATATGATATGATGCTATGGAAACCACCACAACGAAATCGCCTACAAACACGTGAAGAATTCAGTGACTACATATTCAAGCCAACAAAATGAGTTTGGACAGTAAAAAACGTAGCCAACATCCATCCGCAGTATTTACAGTCATGGCTGCAATAATGTTTCCAGGTACGATTTGTATAGAAACAGGTCGTGAAGATATACCGACCGATTATCTGCGCACGCCACTACGTCTACGGTACTTTCTTCCCGCATGTCAGCTATTCAAGACACTTGCCATATTATTCTGCTGAGTTCTAAGCCGCAGAAATCCTAAGCTCTGGATTCGGTAGACCGTTCTCTCGGTACCTTGTCCGCTGCACGCACGCAGCAAAGTCTAACCGAACAAAGAAGTGTGCTGACTTTGAAGTGACACTAATCTTTGTGTTTACCCTCAATAACCTACAAACCATCACACGAAAGGCCACGCACGGACCGAATTTCTGACCCAAGAAATCAGCCAAATGGCAGGCGATCGGGCCTACATGGATGACCTCCCTCGCTGGCGGACAGACACAGCAGGAGAGAAGCCACTTAAACCGAGTCGAATTCGAATGCAAGGAGACTTTATCGGCGCGCCGCTCGTTCGAGCGTCTCACGCTGTAACATGTGTCAGAACGTGACAGGTATAACGACCACCGCCGAATCCCCGCGAAATTCTCGACTGCGTCCGAAAATGCCATTATACGACACACGTGCCTATGAGGCCCGCAACTGTAAGTGTTTTATTACTAGCCGTCGCTCTGCTGCCGTTGCTAGCTTTCGAGTCGGTTCCTCCGTTACAAAGAACTTGTGGTCCTTGCGGTACATTTTACGTACCGTATATATATCGCGGAGTTGTCGCTGTAATTATAGAAAACGATGGAACTTCTTTTCTGAATCGGTGATGGCGTTTATGTCTGCGACCAATAGGATTACGCAGTTCGTACATCCCACCATTCTAGTTTGGTTATAATTCTCGTAATACCTGCCATTATGTATCATTCTAACCCGCTCTGTTGTTTATAGATGTCAGTCATGTTCATGTACTATGTCTGCGTCTGTGTCTGTGTCTGAAGCTCTGTCTACCATGTCTGACCGCAAAATCGCAAAAATATTCACAATAAATTCACAATAAAATTCACAATTCACAATTTCACAATTCACAATTTCACAATTTCACAATTTCACATTTTCAAATTCATTTTCAATTTCACATTTCACATTTCAATTTCACATTTCACAATTTCACAATTCACAAATTCACAATAAATTCACAATAAATACACAATAAATATTCACAATGGATAAATGTTGTTCAAGCCTTGAAACGGATTGAATTATTATCCGTGTTGATTTAATTATTGGGTGCTTCAGGCGTTGAAATGTTATTCAGGTGTGAACGCGCGGTCTTTTATTGACAATTAAAGCCATCACATAAAACAGTTATATTTTGCATTTTATTTCGCATTCCATTATTGGCAGTGATGGAGATTTATTATAATATACTAATATAATTTAATTTAATATAATATAATATAAAATATTATAATATAATATAATATAATAATATATTATATTATATTATAATATAATATAATATAATATAATATAATTTATTATAATATACTTAGAATATATAAATGTAAAATTATAATCATTTATTACAACACACCTGAGATTTATTATAAACTGCGACACGCTCCATACGTTAACGGAGTGAAAAGATCAGCTGCGCATCATGTTCATTCCTCTTCTACTTTCTTTCTTCATTCTTCCTCTCTTCTCCTGCATTAATCCTCTGCAGATGGAGCAGCGAGTTCAGAGATGTGCTTGGAAACTGATACACTACTACTAAACAAGCGCATATACTGCGCGCGACATTACACCTTGATCTCGCGAATACGTTTCTTTCCTGAATAAACAAGTATACGCAGTGACGTCGATCAGCAGCAGTATCTGGGCGAGTAAATTCGATCACCTCTTATTAAACACGTGAAACCGCACGAAAATACCCTACGAATGGGAAACGGGCAACTAAATATAGCCTTCTGTAGAATAAAAACTGAATAGATCCCGCCCAATCTCTGGTGCGCGGCATTTCGCATTTAGCACGAGCCCCGAAACACCCCTATCACGGTCTCAGCGATACAGCCGTAATGCGAACCGGAAGAAGTCGACGGTCGGCCTTTAAAATGAGCAGCCGACTGCAGTGCGACAGGAAAGTCGTATCCGGTGACGTCAGAGCTTGGCGGAAGCATCGGAGTTTCAGGTCCAGTAGGCGGTTATCTGGTTTCCGTGCATGCATGACTACCTAGCAGCTGCTGCGAGCTCACTACGTGCAAGGTTTCATCGTGACAAGTGGAGTGAATCGGGCGCCGGACTGTGAATATGATGGTGATATGAGCATATATATTTATAATCTATGAGCGCACTTCTTTATATAGGCTTTACATATTTACAAATTTTAGCAACAATCCTAATTAACCACAAAGGCTACATCATTAAACCACAGTGCTGACAGCAAGACAACCTGCAAATTTTAAACGTATACACGGAAGGGGACTCGAACATTTATGTTAACTCACCTCGCGTCTTATCTGTTCTTGCGACTGTACGTATAAGTATTGCTGTATCTGATGGTGCAAAATAAATCTATCTACCTATCTTTATTACACCTTGTTCACATTCGACATGCTAGTGATTACGTACCAGTTATAACTGGGAGCAACTGAATATTTTGTAAACCTCGAATAATAAAAGGTCGACAGAACTCCTGCGCAAGGATAATTAGACAAATTAATTTTGCTTTCCTATAGCGAAAATTAACCGGTCGCTCTAGTATAGGCGAGAGCGCAGTAACAATCGCTGAAGATTCGAGCGTATAAATTCGAGAGTGACCCGTCGATTGCATATACGTATGTAAATACGAGATGCGCTGTTTATAGCGAGTCGTGAGGCGCGCGGGCTTCATAAACCCCATCCGAGTCTCACGGTCATTAGTTACTCGCGGTCAGCATCAGTGCGAGCCTCAGCAGCAGCAGCAGTAGCAGCATCAGTAGTAATAGTAGCAGCAGCAGCGACGGCAGCAGCATCAGTAGTAATAGTAGCAGCAGCAGCGACGGCAGCGGCAGAAGTCGACTGCCGGCTCAGACCAGCTTGTCGTCTACGCGCAGCAGATAGCCGATCGCTCATCTCAAATAAACTTCTTATACGGTCTCGATGTGAGTGAGTGTTCGCACTTTGGTTTTAAATACGTGGTGCCCGGGTGATGCAGCCGAGTGACGGAGATTCGTTTAGACGTCAGATGCTAAGTTCTTTTGTAAGTATACAAATTTTGTAGTACAATTAACGATTAATATATAGTATAGATGATGTTATCTATCATGATTCTGAGCTATTGATCTATGCTACGGCCGCGACTGTTCATACGAGCCCGTAACAAGACACTCTTATTTATATGAGTGTTGCAAACATCAAAGCAGTAGCGTTTGTTGCATTAAATGAAAACCGCTATTGTTATACCCACGATATATATATATATACCGTCGATATATATATATATATATATATATATATATACATATATATATAGCTTCAGGTGTACTGTTACCTAAAACTCCCGATGCTCGTGCAGGCAGACGATGATGGATTGATGTTAGTAAATGAATGATCACCGTGTTTGCCTACTCGTGAGCTCACGATCATGAAACATGTCAATTAGGAAGGTTTATGATGGTATAATGACCGATTACACATTCTCGTATGCGTTATGCAGAATTTTACCGTTTTCACGACAGGGCTTTCCATCAGATAATCAGTCCGTTCACATAAGCAGTAAGAAACGCGCGTGTATATGTGTCATTATCATAGGTTCACGCGGTCAGAATAAAGATTCTTAGATTATGTACTATTTCGTGTCTTGTGATCGATATTACATCATATACATCTGCTGCCTGCTGCTCTTCCTTTAATAAGTTAATGAGTATACAGTATAAGCGTGTCGTTAGCTGTGTATCGCAGCAGGGGTTCTTGTCGCGCTATAAACAGGCTATAGATAACGCGATTATCATATCAGTATTGATTGAGAACACAAATTTCTGTCAGCTTAAAATTTATGAACGGGGCCGGTGAATTATGTTGTTGCTAGTCATACGCGCTAATAGCTACTGTGGGCTACAACGAAGTTCTACTGATTGATATAATCACACAACGCCCTCACGTAGCGCGTATATTAACCACGTTTGTCTCGTTTGGGCATTTTTTATTATCATTTTCACGTACGAGAAAGAGAGAGAGACAAACAGAGAGAGAGAGAGAAAGAGAGAGAGGGAGGGGGAATGGATGCGTGCGTGTATATACGCGCGTGCGAGGGTGTGCGTTCGCGCGCCGGTGTTAATCTCTATGTCTCTCTCTGCCTCTCTCTCTCTCTCTCTCTCTTTCGCGCGCTCTCTCTCTCTCTCTCTCTCTCTT